AGGAGAGTAAGAAAATGTAGACTTTTTTTTTTTCCCTAGAATATATTTGAGCCTATATGACCACCAGTCTAAGGCAAGTAGAGATAGGAAGGGGTTAAACATACTTGAAAAACAGGGTAACCACAAATCAAAAACATAAAATAGATTCACAAAAACCAAAAAGAAGAGAACGTAAGTATAATACAAAAGAAAATCATCAAACCACAAAAGGAAAAACAAAGAGAAAAAGAAAGGGACAAAGAAGAAATATAAAATCAACAGGAAAACAAGGTTTAAAATGGCAATAAATACATATCTATCAATAATTACTCTAAATGTCAATGGACTAAATGCTCCAATCAAAAGACACAGAGTGGTAGACTCTGTGTCTTTTGATTGGATAAAAGAACAAGATAAACTACAAGAGATATTTGATAGAGAGATATACAAAAGTGGATTAAAAAAACAAGAGCTTACACAATATGCTGCCTGCAAGAGACCCACTTTAGGGCAAAGGACACACACAGATTGAAAGCGAGGGGAGGGAAAAAGGTATTTCATGCTACCGGAAATAACAAGAAAGCAGGGGTAGCAATACTCATATCAGACAAAATAGCCTTTAAAACAAAGGCCATAAAGAAAGATAAAGAAGGACACTACATAATGATAAAGGGATCAATAAAAGGATTTTACACTCAGCACCCAAATACATAAAACAAATACTAACAGACGTACAGGAAGAAATCAACAGGAATACAATAATAGTAGGAGACTTTAACACCCCACTCACATAGATGGACAGAGCTTCCGGACAAAGAATTAATAAGGCAACAGAGATCCTAAATGATACAACAGAACAGTTAGATCTAATTTTTTCATGACATTACATCCAAAAAGAAACAGAATACATATTCTTTTCAAGTACACATGGAACATTCTCTAGGACTGATGACGTACTTGGGCACAAAACAAGCCTCAACAAATTTAAGAGTATAGAAATTATCTCAAGCATCTTTTCTGACCACAACAGCATGAAACTAGAAAGGCCAAGTTCTGAGAACTTACCAGGCCAGTTTCCACACAAAAACCTCTTGCAGACAATGCAAGAGGATGCTCTGGGAAAAGAAGGAAAGAGGCACTGCCAACAGAGCAGAGCCATTTGGAGCGTTCAAGAAAACACTGGATTCATCAATGGCCCCTTTGGAATACTTGAATAATAGGCTGAGCAGGTGGCGATGAAAATGTACGATCTGTGCTGCAGTCTACAGGCACCAAAACGTAAAGGTATGTGCTAGAATAAGAGCCAGTGCCTGCAGAGTGGTATTTGAACTGTGGTTTGAAATACCGAAGAAAATATTATAGAAAGAGAAGATGTTGGAGATTTAAAAACAAAGGGTTGTTGAGAGCTTTAGCAACATTACGTGAACGGATTTTGGTCTTAGAGCAAGTCTGAGCAGGTAGACAGTGCAAGGAAATGTATCTCAAGCTCCAAACCATCTGGGAAAATACGCAAAAAGACTTCTAACTAAGGGAAGAATAGACTACGATACAAACAACTGGGCACGTTCCATCAAATTATCAATGGGAAGCATTTACAGTGGAGCAGTGGTTTCCAAACTCAAGCTCTATAACTGGCCTGAGGCCTGAGAAATCCAGAATTCTTTTGCTAATGCAGTTTATTTTAAAATAAAAGTAAAAATCTGAAGTATCAAGAAGGCTTAAGGACAGAGGAGACTGAGTCTCTTCAGACCCCAATCTCAAATCCTGGTGGCCAACACAGAACGAGGCTGAGGTGCTGTTTAATGCTCTGAACCAGTGGGCATCGGTGAGCGCCAAGCTGCACCTCTGGGGGGACGGGGGAGGATGCAACAGACGATGATAGCGCTCCCCAATGAAACCCTCAGGTGCCTCTATACCCCGTCCCAAACTAACAGGGGCTCACACACACCAATAGGTGCAATCCTCACTGGTACCTCCAAGTTCTTTGGTGTTAAATGGCCACCTAGGGGCCCTTGGCCTTGTCCACCAGGACTATTGGCACCACAAGTGCAAATATAAACTGAGAAAGAGCTATGCCATGTGCTCTCTCGCAGGCATCGTTTTCCAAACACTACCCCCAGGACCCGGCTTATGTTCCATAACCATAAACATAGTAACCACTGGCTTGAGGAGAAGGACCACACATTTGAGAGCTGCAGGTAGTTCGCTCTGGAGCTATGGGGCATATTAGAAATGACTTAACTAACCGGTCCCAATTTACCCACAGAGGAGGGAAGGCTCGTTATCTCCCTTTGAGAAGGCTCAAAAGTTTCCAAGAGGAGAAGACTGTGGTAAGACCAGACAACCTCCTTTCTCTGTGCACCTTCTGAATCCTGGCACCTCCAAAGTTAAAATAATAAAAAGGGACTTTAAGAATATAATTCAAGGCTGGGAAGCAGCTCTCCCAGTTTAACATAATAAGGAACAGGACTAAAGCCAGCAAGCGGTAAATCTTTGCCGTTGGAAAGGTATTGACTGTTTTTCAAGTGCTCCCCCAGGAAGATATACCACTGAGAGTGTCTTCTCCTGCCCTGCCCAGCAGCAAAACTGGACAGAGCAGAGACTGGCCAACAATCCACCCTGAAGACCAGACTCAGAGAAGGAAGAACTACAGGAGGGAGGGAAAAGGTGCATGAACTAAGGGGTTAAAGGGATCAAAGGTCTCAGGTGAAAAGAGCAGGCTTATAGGGGACAAGGAGACTCTTCATCAATATACCCTTCCGAATTGTGTCAAAAGTACAAATATTACTTATTCAAAACACAAGCATAACATAAGAAGTAAAAGAAAATAAAGAATGGCAATCATTATGTGAACGTAACATTACCTGAACATAAAATGTATAAAATCAATAGCTCTTTGGGTGGTAAAGTGAGAGGACTAGGTACACTGGTATGTAAAAACAAATAATAATGTAAAGACATCAAAGAACCACAGGAATACATAATGCAAAACTGGATGAGCTACGGTAGCACTGTCAGCCTCTTTAAGTTTCCTACACGCAAGTCTTTTCTTCAAAATAAAAATTATAAAATCATCACCTGCTTAGCAATGCGTCATAAGCAGCCGTGCAAGACACTAACCTGACGCTACACTAGAATCCTCGGAGACAGCAGAAGAGACGTCAAGAGTCACCAACAACCCCTTAAAAACTGTTATTTTTATCATTTTCAACTTATGTAGGTTATCTGTTTTGTCACATACATGTTTGGCTTTTGAAAACCTTCACGGTAAAAAAAAAAAAAAAATTAACTGCTGAGAAAATTAAGATCTTACAGAAAAATAGTAAAAGCCGTTAAAAACATTTTCAGGTTTCTAAAAATAAACAATTAAAACAGCATATTAAAATAAGGCAAATCAATAACATTTTCCACTTAAACTGCAGTGAAGACTATATTATGAATTTCCATTTTCCATCACCTGCACGTCAGAGATCTTTCAGGAACGTCAAGCAACCCCACTCCCTACATCAAGCAGTTTCAGCAACGTGGTGATGCTTAAAAATGTATTTTGCTTGCAGATAATACATGATGATATGTTTCACGTGTCAATTTGGCTCGATGGCAGTACCCAGCTATTTAATCAAATAGTAATCTAGGTGTTGCCGTGACGGTGTTTTATAGACGTGGGTAACATCTACAATCAGTTGACTTCAAATAAAGGAGATTACTGTCAAAGCTGTGTGTGGCCTTTATCCAAACAAAGGCCTTAACTGCAAAAACTGAGGTTTGCCTGAGCAGTTCTGCCTCAAGACTGAAGCATCATCAACTCCTCTCTGAGTTTCCAGCCTACAGATTCCAACCCGCCACCCACACAATCCTGTGAGCCAATTCCTTGAAAACACACACACCCACACACACACACACCCACACACACACACACCCACACACACACACACACACACACACACACACACACACACACACACACACACACCCATCCACTGGTTCTGTTTCTCTGGAGATCCTAACCGATAAATGCACATTCAGAGACATTTTATGTGTAGTTCTCTGTTTCAGTATTCTTTATCTTTCTGATTTTATGATCCTACTTCCCTTAGGCCCACCTATACCATCTCAGCTCCCACCCTCCTCATGGAACCCACCAAATAAAATTCTTGGGACTAAGTTTCCTTTTCCAAGTTTTTGTTCAACAATATCTACACCTCTGCTTTTCTATTTCCATCCCTCGGGCCCTTCTTTTTCTAAAGATTATGAAAGAACAGTAATGAAAACAACTGGCATAAACTAGGATGAAAATTCTCATAATATATAGATATACATTTGCATATACAAATTCCTGCAGCAAAGAGACTTCAGATTGCAAAAGACTATCTACAGTGTCATAGCTTCTTAACTATATGTTTTTAAAGGTAAGGTACATTTTAAGCTGGGATTTTCATTCCAACACAGAGCTCAGAAATGTTTCTGTGTGGGAGATCAGTTCAGTGCTTTGTGACCACCTAGAGGGGTGGGATAGGGAGGGTGGGAGGGAGACGCAAGAGGGAGGGGATATGGGGATATACGTATACATACAGCTGATTCACGTTGTACAGCAGCAACTAACACAACATTGTAAAGCAATTATACTCCAATAAAGGTGTTAAAAAAAAAAAGAAATGTTTCTGGGCAATTAGCACTGCAATTGGGAAATAAAAGTTAAAGTATAATTTCAGTTACAGAAATCAAATTCTAAATCCATAAAAAGAATGTGCTTATTTTGAAATCCAAACATCCTTGTTCATGGATAACTTCTTTTTTAATGATGAAGTATATAAACTTCAGAGTTACAGAAGAATTGTCTAGTTAGATATTTCAACAGTATTTTAATGCTAAACTTTCAAGGTATTCAGCTTCCTTAAAATTCAAACATTTCAATGCTTTGTCAACTGGAATCAATATCTATTAACTTAGCTTTATACATGCCTTAAATAGTACAAAGAAAAACATATTTTAAATATTTAAAACAACAATCACATGCTCACCTCCCACATCAACCTGTAATCCATATTTTCGTCCAAGTCTTCAGGCATTCTCTTCTCTCCAGCAAACGGTCCAAACTTTTCACCCTGAGTAGTAATGATTACATTGAAAAAGGATTAGTACAATAATCAATAATCAAGTTACTAAAATAAACTATTATTTCTCTTCTGGAAAAATTTTTTTCTCCAAAGCCTTATGCCCAATGATTGAGACGCATTTAAAACATTAATTTACCCAACACAAGATATTTACATATTTAAAATCTAACTTAATCTATTTTAGCCGAAGAGCCTAAATCCACAACACAGGAGCTAACAAGAAAGGGTTAAATCGCTCAACATTTAAATTCAGACAAGGCTTGAACACTATACTTACATGTTTCAAACCTCTGCAGCCACTGGCAAGTGGTCTTAAAATGAGAAGCCCTGAGTCTTGCCTGACTTGAGACAAGCCCACCAGGCAGAAAACCACCTGGTTTCCATAAAAATCATAAATTCGTCCCAATCATGAACAAGAAAGAAGTAGACTTGCCATCCTCAGAGGAAGCCTGTTCATAAACAAAGTTTAAATTCTCCTGCCAATCTTTCAAACAACCAAGGGGGCACTCTATAAACCAGGGCTTCTCAAAGTGCGTACTTGAATCACCAGCATGAGAGTCACCAGCGTCGCTTATTACAAATTCAGAATCCTGTGCTTATTAAGATCAGAATCTCTGGGAGTGGGATGTGTGGAGCTGCATTTGGACAAGTTCCCAGGTGAGAGCTGCTGGCGGACACCAGGAGTGGCCCCGGCAGGGAGGGACCCGTGAGGCAGGGTGAAAGGGTAAGCAAAACTGTTCTCACAACTAAGGCAACCAAAGCAGGACTGGAGACACAGAGAGGGTGGGATCACGCTTGTCCAGGCAGACGATCCACAGACGTGTGTGCAGAGCGGGTACTGGGTCACGCATGCCCTTGTGAGCCTCCTCCAAACCTGCCTGTGACTATTCTACAGAAGAACCCTTCTCTTCGTTGGGAGGTGGACAAACTTTTTTTTTTTTAATTTTTTTTTTTACATCTTTATTAGAGTATAATTGCTTTACAATGGTGTGTTAGTTTCTGCTTTATAACAAAGTGAATCAGTTATACATATACATATGTTCCCATATCTCCTCCCTCTCGTGTCTCCCTCCCTCCCACCCTACCTATCCCACCCCTGTAGGTGGTCACAAAGCACCGAGCTGATCTCCCTGTGCTATGCGGCTGCTTCCCACTAGCTATCTATTTTACGTTTGGTAGTGTATATATGTCCATGCCACTCTCTCCCTTTGTCCCAGCTTACCCTTCCCCCTCCCCATATCCTCAAGTCCATTCTCTAGTAGGTCTGTGTCTTTATTCCCATCTTACCCCTAGGTTCTTCATGACCTTTTTTTCTTAGATTCCATATATATGTGTTAGCATACGGTATCTTGATGAACATTGTTGGGGGAAAAATAACCACCAAAACAATGTTTCAAGGCATATAAATGACTTAATGAACAACAGAAAACCCAACTCCAGGCAACAGTCAAATGTTAAAACTTACAGGAATTACAACTAGCCCCTCATGTTACAGACAAAGAAAAGAGGTTCTGAAAAGCCACAAGTAATGGCAAAGCTTTGAAGACCTACTGTTTAATGTTAACTTGGAGGCAGAAAATGCTACAGAGATCCCTGAAATCAAGACGATAATCCTAAATAAACCAAAAACAAGCACACCAAAGAGACAGGGAGACTATCTGGCTATTTCGGGCAACCTGGAAGACAGACCAAACATTAAGGTGTGTTTTTGGTAATACATTTAAGGATTTGGTATTAATGCATATATAGTCCAACTTTCACTCCACTTTGTCATGTATTTAGCCTTTACCGACTACTGCAGAAGGAAATCATCTGAGTACATGCTTTCCAATGCAAGAGATCTACCCATGCCAGTCAGTTCCTCTTTGCAGTACAAATTTGGAGGAAATATAAAATTGTATCAATCAATTCAGCAGCATTCAAAGGACTGAAAAGAAAGGGATGGAAACCCAAGTAAATGCACTGGGCTTGGGGAAAAAAGCCTGCTTGTATGCAGGCCTAGGAAGATTATTTAAGGACTTACAGCTTTGAAAATTCAAAACAAGAATCAGGACTGTGAGTTTAAAGCCTTGCTATTAATAGTGAGCAATCACTCTATCATAAACTCTAACTATAATAAATATGGCTTTCAATTTTTTTTTCCTCAGCCAAGAAATACATTTTGCATCTCAGCCTACCATCTTCACATCTATACAGATGACAACATGGTTTGAACTGTCTGGGTCCACTTAAACGCAGGTATCTTAATTACACCATCCTGGTCGGTTGAATGCACCACTGTGGAAGAACCACAGATGTGGAGGGCCAACTATAAATTCTGTGTGCATTTACCCCCATGTTGTTCAAAGGTCAAGTGTACACGGAAACACACATAAAACTAACACATAAATTTTTAAAAATACTACTACCCTTCCTCTGTACAATGTATTCCAAACCGTCTACTCTATTTTACTTCACTTTTGAAAAAATACTCGTTTTGACCAATAAAGTTAATTTCACAACTCACCAATGGGTTGCAATCCAATTTGAAAAACACTGACATAAAAACACAGATGGAGGAGATAAATTTCTAAGTATATTTGGCTTTCTCGATTTGGTAAAATTGCCTTCAAAGTACAACTAGTGAGTATACTGGGATGATGTGGTCAAATAAACTTGAGTTTCTGTGGCTGCAAGATTACAACAATATAAATAGTCAACACTTAGTTATCCATACACTTGTGGTAAGAAGCACTGCAGATAATTAAAACGATTTATATTTGGTTTTTGATGAGGATTTTACAATTACTTGACCCACTCCAGGCCTTCCCCTAAAGATCCCAGCACCTACTACCCACCCCCTTCTCTCTCTGTTCACTGTCATTTCTACTATACAAACAGCACTTTCTTATCATCACAGTTTTAATGTATACACTGCTTTGTTCACTAACCACTTCCTATGATATTTCTAACCTAAGAGTAAGCCTCTGCTGCCTCCGTAGGCTTCAAACCTGCTCGAGTAACATACCCATGAAAGGAAGATTTAGGGCACTCACCCATGGGTAATTTTTTTCTTTTAGATGAACCATATGCTATTGCCAGTATCTGACCATTTTTGAGCCATAAAAATTAAAATTTTTCATAGGATTCATTACAATATAAATTACATATACATGTGCATATTTAACACCTAAAGTGAGGTTCATTAATTAATGGTAGGAAGGAAACTAATGTTTCAAACTATCTTCTTGAAAATTTCAAAAATTTCTAGTTGACTTCCTATCATCATTGGTTTTATTTTTTGTGATTTAGCTGCTGAAGATCTCATACTAGCAGCAGAAAAACTATCAACTCTACCATTTTCTTGCTGTTAATGTGCGTCAGCATCATTATTATTACCTTCAACCTGTGACTACGTTACAAAACACCTTCCAAGAATTCTTCACTTCTAACAATCTGAAGAGTCACTATCTCAAATGCTTACAAGGTGAGGCAGGAAAGCAGCACAACATTAGACAACAAACACGGGAAGGACGCATTAGGGAGTGCCCAGGAGGTGAGTTGGAGGGGCATGCCCTTTTATAAAGCTTTTTAACTCCAACTGCCTGTTGCTGTATCACAGGGGGAGCCCAATGTTGCCAGATACCTGCAAATATTTTAGTGAGGCTGACAACTCAAAAATTTGTTTGTGAAATCACTACTATTCTACATTGGCAATGAATTTCAAGTTTTCAAAATTCTGCGCAGATCCAATAAAATGCGATTGTAAGATAAATTCAACCTGTAGATACCAAATGTCCAAGTCAAACTCACTTCTCAGACTGGCCCAATGCTGAGCCTACAGTGGCGCTTCTTTGCTGTTTCTAAAAAATGCAGATAAACATCCATTCAATTTGGGACCCACTGGACTAGACAATAACTTTTAATAAAAAATGTACGATTGCAAACATGTGGGCCATTTTCTCTCATTTTGATTAATATTATTAGCAGGAATTTGAAACCAAGAGTTACTGCAGATCTCTCTCTTAGAATAATGGGAAAAGCACTACCTGAGCACTCCAGGGATCTGGATCCTAATCCTGGCTCTGCCACTAATTATCTGTGACACATTAGGATGTCACAAACTTGTGAGCTTCAGTTTCCTCACCTATAGAACTGAGAAATTTGGATTAGCTGATTTCTAAGATTCCTTCCAGCTCTCAAATCCTATTAGAGAGAGCTTCCACAGACCAAATTTAGAACAATTTGGGGATCAAAGAGAACAAGAGTATAACTGATTGAAACACATTAGCAAATTCTTTTTTTTTTTTTTTTTTTCGGTGTGTGGGTTTCTCACTGTTGTGGCCTCTCCCGTTGCGGAGCACAGGCTCCGGATGCGCAGGCCCAGCGGCCATGGCTCACGGGCCCAGCCGCTCCGCGGCATGTGGGATCTTCCCGGACCAGGGCACGAACCCGCGTCCCCTGCATCGGCAGGCGGACTCTCAACCACTGCACCACCAGGGAAGCTCCCGACATTAACAAATTCTTAAGGCCACAATGATTGCTAGAGAGAGGAAAAAAAAGAATTTTTTAAATGTCTCATTGCTGGCATAACAGCTTACTAAAATTAATAAAGAGAAAGAACTAAGCATCTTGTCCTATCTTTCAACAATTACGCTACTTCGGGATAAGCAGACAGCAGCAAACGATGAAGGACAGCTCTTCTTTACAGAGGAATGCTAACTTATAAATAAAGGAGGAACATTCAAGTGAAATCCCCATTTTGAAAGCCCTAATAATGTAAGTGATTCAGGGAAGGATTATCAATGGATGCTAAAACCATCAGGTGAAAGGCTGATAGTAAAAGAGGTATTCATACACTATCAGCTCACAGGTCACCAGTTAAGCACAAATTACCTTTACAATGGAAAAGTTACGTTAACCCGGTGCTGGTATTACTCAGGGAAAAACCAGATATTATATGCCCTCTGCTAAAACGCAGTATGAAGTAAATCATTCTAGCCCTTCAT